CCCACTTCCATGTGAGTGGTGTGGGTGTCTCTGATGTCTGGTCCCCACTTCCATGTGAGTGCGTGTGGTGGCGTGTGGCTCTCTGATGTCTGGTCCCCACTTCCATGTGAGTGCGTGTGGTGGCGTGTGGCTCTCTGATGATGTCTGGTCCCCACTTCCATGTGAGAGCGTGTGGTGGCGTGTGGCTCTCTGATGTGTCTGGTTCCCGCTTCATGTGAGTGCGTGGGCTGCATGTGGTCTCTGATGATGTCTGGTCCCGCTCCGTGTGACAGCGTGTGGTGGCGTGTGGCTCTCTGATGTCTGGTCCCCAGTTCCATGTGAGTGCGTGTGGCTGCATGTGGGTCTCTGATGATGTCTGGTCCCCACTTCCATGTGACAGCGTGTGGTGGCGTGTGGCTCTCTGATGTCTGGTCCCCACTTCCATGTGAGTGCGTGTGGCGGCGTGTGGCTCTCTGCTTCTGCATTAATTTGCTTAGGATGGTGGCCCCAAATCGTGTCCTTTGCAGCAGCGTGGATGCATTTGTTGAAGAAAGAACACAGGCCCCTAAGCATCAAAGTGCAGTCACAGACCCTGAAGAACCTTGCCTGTCCTCGAGAGGCTCACAGTCAGCTCGGGAGGCAGCTCTGCCTGGAACTCACCACGATGCCTGTTTCACTGACTTGGAAACCATTTCTCAGCTCAGGTCCAGTGAAGAGCAGACGGTGCCACTGAACCACAGCACATGCTTTGGAATCACCTCAGATGATTTTGTATTTATTGAACAATCTCTCAGACTCATTTATCAGCCTCACTCTTGCATGGGCATCTAAAAGGAGTTTTAGCGATCAACGGGTTAAAGAATCCTGACACGTCACACTCAGAGCCCCTCCACTGAGCGTCTCCACAGCACGATACTGGTCCCCACGTGCTCTCCAGGCCTCCGCAGGGCTGGTCCCCACCTGCTCTCCAGGCCTCCGCAGGGCTGGTCCCCACCTGCTCTCCAGGCCGCAGCAGGGTTGATTTCCACGTGCTCTCCAGGCCGCCGCTGGCTGGTCCACATGTGCTCTCCAGGCTGGCCACACAGCATTTCTCATGAGCATTCCACTGTAGCCAAGAAGATCATCCTCTGAGTTACTGTTGGCCACAGCCGACGGCCTTTCTGGAAGTTCTGCTGCCGCGTGTTCCTGGCATCTTGGGAGGCCCCAGTAGAAAGTGCTCAGGCAGAAACAAGGACTCATTCCCTCCCCAAGGCCTCCAAGGATGCGCCTTGCTGCGCTGCCTATTCAGGGCAGCGGGAATTGCCGAGAGTCATCACTGCACTGGCCCATGCTGCCACCCCACTTCAGCTGGGGGAAATGTGCATTTCAGAACCAAGGAAACACGGACAGGAAGGCCCACTTGGGGAATAAACAAAGCACTGTGCCAGCAGCGCGGGGGACCGTTTGCATCCACTCGACAGAACTAGTTTTACTTTTTCAGGAATTTTGTGAGCCCGTTATTCATACAGCCATTGTGAAACACTGAATGATAAAAACACACTTAAATAAACTGTTTTAAGAGCAGAGGCGATCAATACTCAAGCTCACCATTTTATAACTGGTTTTCTACATTTTCGTGTCATCAGCGCCCTTGAGATTATTTCTGTCCTCCGTGTCTGCATGGTGGGAACTCTTTCCTGTGCACCTGCAGGTCTGCGTCTGCTTGGTTCGCCCCGCCGTGCCTCATGTTGAAATTCACTCCCCATGTGTGACTGGGCGTCTGCTTGGTTCGGCCCCGCCGTGCCTCATGTTGAAATTCACTCCCCATGTGTGACTGGGCGTCTGGTTGGTTCGGCCCCGCCGTGCCTCATGTTGAATTCATCCCATGTGTGACTGGCGTTTGGTGGTTCGGCCCGCGGTGCCTCATGTTGAAATTCACTCCCCATGTGTGATTGGGCGTCTGGTTGGTTTGGCCCCGCCGTGCCTCATGTTGAAATTCACTCCCCATGTGTGATTGGGCGTCTGGTTGGTTTGGCCCCGCCGTGCCTCATGTTGAAATTCACTCCCCATGTGTGATTGGGCGTCTGGTTGGTTCGCCCCGCTGTGCCTCATGTTGAAATTCACTCCCCATGTGTGATTGGGCGTCTGGTTGGTTCAGACCCCCGTGCCTCATGTTGAAATTCACTCCCCATGTGTGACTCTGCGTCTGCTTGGTTCGGCCTGCCGTGCCTCGGTTTGAAATTCACTCCCCATGTGTGATTTGGCGTCTGGTTGGTTCGGCCCCGCCGTGCCTCATGTTGAAATTCACTCCCCATGTGTAACTCTGCGTCTGCTTGGTTCGGCCCCGCCGTGCCTCATGTTGAAATTCAGTCCCCATGTGTGACTCTGCGTCTGCTTGGTTCGGTCCTGCCGTGCCTCGGTTTGAAATTCACTCCCCATGTGCGACTCTGCGTCTGGTAGGTTCGACCCCGCCCTGCCTCATGTTGGAATTCGGTCCCCAGGTTGGAGGCACAGCCTGGTGGGAGGCCTTTGGATAATGGGGGAGGGGCGCATGGGGCTGGGCGGATCCCTCCTGAATGGATTCATGCCCTCCCGGGGTGGAGGTCAGCGACTTCTTCTCTCTTCACTCCTGTGAGACCTGACTGTTAACGAGAGCCTGGCCCTCCCTCGCCCCCTCCTGCTTCCTCTCTCCCCATGTGAGCTCTGCACACTGCACGGCTCCCTTCACCTTCCACTGCAGGTGGAAGTAGCCTGGGGCATCCTCAGACGCAGACACCTGTACCATGCTTCTTGTGCAGCCTGCAGTACCGTGAGCCAAAGAAACCTCTTTTGCTTGTACATTGCCCAGCCTCGGGTGTTCCTTTACAGCAACACAAACGGACTGAGACAGCGTCTCTACCCATTCCCTTTAGTAGTTTCACATGAGCGCAGAAGCCGGCCGCGATGGGAGCATTTACACAGCAGAAATTACCCAGTGCGGCAGTTCACAATCCTGTTGTGCATGGGACAGGCAGCCTGCACACCATGAGCTGTGAGACACACAGGGCCGTGCTGAGGATGGTGAAGAAGGGGGTGTCTCTGAGCACATGTGGGGCCTGAGCTGCCTGGAAAGAGGACTGTGTTCTTGTCAGACTGAGGAGCTCAGAGCATCCTGGCAGGGGACAGAGAACGCCTGAAATGTGCTGAAAAGCCCAATATCTGGACAAGGAGAGTCACCTGGACCTCAGGGCCAGCAAGGCAAGTTCTCCGTGCTTGCAGGGGACACCACTGAAAGGCTTTGAAGGACCACTGAAAGGTCTGGATTTGGAACCAGAGGTCTGGATGTTGAGTCCAAGGATGGACAGACGCCGTTAGACTGACGGCTCGTGACACCCTGGGCAGTGTGGAGAATGGACTAGGGCCGGGCAACCTCTTGGCAACCACAGCCTGCAGGTCAAATCAGACCCACTGTCTGCTGTTGTAAATAAAGTTTTATTGGAACACAGCCACGACCATTCACTTAGGCGTGGCCTGCAGCTGCCTCCACACTGCAAGGCAGGGCTGAGTAGCTAAGACGGAGCCGTGGGCCTGCCGAGCCTGACCCAGTTGCTACCTGCCCTTCATAGGAAAAGGTTGTTCCCCTGTGGATTGGATTTTTCTCATTACTATGGGCTGGGCTGCCGTTTCCATTCCTGACCCTGACATCAGTGACTGTTCTGCAGCAGTGACCGGGGTGGTTCTCAGGTTGCTTTTGTATTCACTTTCTGTTCCTGAGCCTGCTTAAAAGAGTCCGCTATTACCCACCTGAGGGAAGCTTGCCGATCAGTCAGATGTCTCCTCTGTTTGCAGGAGGACAACAGCACTGATGACCTTACAGCTCTCTTGCCACCCAAGGCTTACGTCCGTGTCCTCCCCTTCCCTCCCCTGGGTTCCCACCCCATCCTAAAGCTTTAAAGGAGCTTTGCTTTAGCACAGTTTTCTGTCTGCCTCGTTCTTTCAGCGCAGTAGGTAATTACTTACATGTAAAAAATAATATGCATTTGCTCGAAGGGAAAAACTTTCCGTAAGACAATGGAGAGGCCGCAAAGGTGGGAAGGGCAGGCTGTGACAGGATCTCGTTTGCGTCCCTCCGAAAGGAATAATTTCATTACCCCAGATTAACACGGGGGTGCTACAATAAGGGGTGAGAGTAATTGATATTTTCCTGCTTCTCATCCTGTGTTAATCACAATCGCAAGGCCTCTTCGTTGGTAGGGTTTGCAGTGAAATTCCGTTTTTTTCTGGTTTTCATCTCCAAAGCGACAAAGGCTTTATGCAAACGCGTATTTCCACAGAGTCGTAAGCCAAGGTCAATTGCCTTGTGACACCCGTCCTCTCCGTGAAGTGAGGCAGGTGGGTTTGCTGTGTTGGTGCTGGGATTACTGAGGGTTCATTTCCATCTGCTAATTGTTTCCAGAGCTCATTTCCCGTGGTTTGCCATCGAGTGCAATTCGTTCTCTGAACGTCTTCCTCATTCTACATCAGGAGAAAACCAGGGTGAGGCTTTTATGAGAGCTAAATTATTATAGGATGTTCCTGTCAGGGCATGAACAAGAGGCCGCAGAGTAGCTGGTGGGGCTGATGACAGAAATACACACGCTCGGCTTGGCCTTCTGGGGAGTCTTTTTATCAACACCTAATGCTGGTTAATGACACATATTTCCCAGTAATTATACAGCTACGAACGATTACGTAATTTTAAAATAAGACGTTGCAGTTTGCAGAGCATGTCTACATATTTCTCATCAGTGATTCACAGTAGTCCTGGGGTCCTGGTGGGACATCCCTTTCTAGATGGAACCAAAGACGCACAGTTGAGCTGGCCCGAGGGGGACCCAGTGGTCAGTGGGAAAATGGAGCCTCGTTCAGGTTCTAATTCTGTGCCTGTTCGTGACCCTTCCATTAAGGTAGATGGGTCAAGCAGTCGGTAATTGAATTTTTCAATGGAGAAAAATGCTCAGAGGTGCCCGGAGACTGAGGACCTTTCCAACCTGACCCCTGTGCTTTCTGATTTTTCCTAACAGTTGACAACAAAGACAAACTGGAGGAAACCTCTGGACTGAAAATTCTTCAAACCGGAGTCGGGTCGGTGAGTAACGGGAGGGGTGCCGTCTGCTCTGAGATCGGCGATGCTGTCTGGGTGCTGGTGAGCACCGTGAGAACAGAGGCTGGACCTGCAGGTTAATTCAGCCGAGGTCCTGTTTTCCGGGGAGGACCAGTGGGCTGCGGCAGGAGCATCCTCTGTGGGTGGGAAACGGGGACAAAATGTGCCTGGAGAGTTCAATGATGTCTTAGGGCCTTTGAAGTCGTAATTTAGTATCCCCACAAGAAAAAGCATTAATGGCTAAGAAGAACAGAGAAGCCTTCAGAAAACGTGCACTTCCTCCCCTCTTCAGCTGTTTTGTAGTTGCTAAGTGTGTGAAAATGAATATGGGCTAGAGGGATTCCTCTTTCCTCCTGGGATGCAGTGGGACATGCTTGTATCTTCAATATCGAAGGACGTATATTTGGGAGAGGTGATATAAAACGGGAAATGCTTCCATAATATCATTGAAAATCTATCAAGCCCCCGTGTGTCCAAACCCCACCATGCTGGTGTCAGAGAGGCGTCGGCCAGGCTCCGCCAGCAGCCAGAGCCGCGGGCACCGTCCCCTCACATGACAACTTAATGAACTGCACACAGAGCGCGGACGCGCCTCCTCTGAGGAATGGCGTGTGGCCACTCGTAAGTCAGTGCGGACCGAAACCAATCTGCGCTCTTGCATTTGAGATTTTGGGTTTCACAGCACTCGCCATTAGAGATAATTAACTGTGAAGGAGCGCTTATTTATGAGTGTGCTTGCTACACAGCAGAACCGCCCTCTGCGGAGCCACTTAAAGACAGGCCGCTTCTGTGGGGAAATCTCGTCCTCACCAGGCCCGAGACTCGGGCTCTTGAAATAAGAAGCTGCTTAATTGGCCGCTCTTCCCAAACAGAGGTTCTTGCGCTTCCCATGCAGTGCCTGCTTAAGGATAGCCTGAAGGGCTTGGAAAATGTGCCTCTCGGTTAAATGACGGGCAGGGTGTGGGAGAGGACAGCAGCCAGTGACCGATGGAAACCGGCCTCACGGCCCGACAGGTGCTCCTGTTCTCGGTGTTTCTTGATGCCTTCCTGGCTCGTGCTGGATGAACGAGGTGTTGGGCAGCCGGTGATGCCCTGGTCTTTCCCAGAAGCTTACTGTGTCTTTAGCACCCAGCAAAGGGTGAGAAAGAAGCCAAGAGTCGGGGGGGCTGCCGAGAGCCACCTGCATCCCACAGAAGGTGCAGTGACTGATGCAGAGGGGCCAAGTGGCCTCGAGGTGGAGTCAGTGGGGGGCGGCTGTGACCCCGTGTCACACCAGCGGCTGTGTGTCTCCTACATGTGGAAGGAGCTGTGGTGTCCTCCTGCCTTTCCTCTCCCTCTGAGCTCATCACGTGGGGTGGTGTTTGGTGCTAAGTCATTCCTACAGGGAAAATGGTGTCCAGGAATTAGGGACAAATCTAGATGGACTCAGGTTAGAGCTGTCTCTGTAATCTGGTCAGAGAACACGTCGAGGCTGGGACCATCTGCTGAACTGTGGAATATTTAGGCCCCGTGAGAAGCGGCTGTGGTGGGCGGGGAGGTGGGTCCTGTGAACATGAAGGAGGCTCTGCCCTGAGAGGGCTGGAGGGGCAGGGGTGGGGGACGGGGAATGGGAGACTCTGGGGTTCATCTGGGAGGTGACCAGTGTGGTGCCTGGTGTCCAGACACACCTTCCTCATTGAACCTGGACTCTGGCCACTCCAGGAAAGCGGCAGGACGTGGTGACAGGCAGAGCCACTGACTGGGCAGCTCCAGCCCAAGTGGCTTCTGCCGTGTGCCTCGCCACACTTTGCCTCTTAAGCGTGGAAGGTCAGATGTTATTGTCCACGCACACATGAGCCGGGGGGATAGCACCTCCCTGGCCGCCCACTCAGGACGGAGCTCCTTCCCACACACACTTGGGCCTGGAGGACAGCACCTCCACGGCCACCCTTTCAGGACAGAGCTGCCCTTCCCATACTGGAGGAGCCACAGGGCCTGGACCTGTGGCTGTAGCCTCCCAGCTCCTCCCGTCCTCCGCTGAGCACCTGTGATGTCTGGGCACTCCCCGCTTGGATTGGGGGAGTTTAGTCCTCCCAGCTCCTCCCGTCCTCTGCTGAGCACCTGTGATGTCCAGGCACTCCCCGCTTGGATCGGGGCATCTGGGTTTCATCCTCCCAGCTCTTCCTGTCCTCTGCTGGGTACCTGTGATGTCCGGGCACTCCCCGCTTGGATCAGGGGATCTGAGTTTGGTCCTCCCAGCTCCTCCCATCCTCCGCTGAGCACCTGTGATGTCCGGGCACTCCCTGCTTGGATCAGGGAATCTGAGTTTTGTCCTCCCAGCTCCTCCCATCCTCTGCTGGGTACCTGTGATGTCCAGGCACTCCCCGCTTGTATCAGGGGATCTGAGTTTGGTCCTCCCAGCTCCTCCAGTCCTCCGGTGGACACCTGTGATGTCCAGGCACTCCCCGCTTGGATTGGGGAATCTGGGTTTTGTGCTGTACTTGGTGCTTCCTTTCACTCAGGCCCTTTCTTGACTCTGCAGAGCCGCCCCTCGCCATCTGTTTCACGGTGGCCTCCCGTGGTCTCTGTGCTCACCCCGTGACTCTCCTTCCTCTGTTGTCAAACGGGGGTCATCACAGAACCCGCACCACCGGGTTGTGTGCAGGTTTCTGGGTGGCGGAGTGCGGACGAGTGAGCACTCATAAACATTCACTGTCATTCTCACCGTGGTCCTGACGCCCCCACAGCATTTGGATTAGGCAGGGGTTGGACCTTCTGGCTCCGTCCACCGTGTCTCAGCACCCTCTGTCACGCCTTCGCCTCTCCCTCCCTCGATGCTACATGACGGATTATTTCCTGAAATTGTTTCCCACGTTCCCTCCTCCTCTGTGTCTAATCTGTTGTAAAACCCAAATGTTGGGTACTTTTCTCTTGGTTACTGTATTTTTCACTTAGAAAAACTTTTTATTTAGTAATTTATCAAATCTGTTCTTTTGCCTTCTACTTTGATTATGTGTTCGATACCATCTTTTATCTTTTCAGTCTTTTTTTTTTTTTTTTTTGAGGCGGAGTCTCGCTCTGTAGCCCGAGCTGGAGTGCAGTGGCCGGATCTCAGCTCACTGCAAGCTCCGCCTCCCAGGTTTACGCCATTCTCCTGCCTCAGCCTCCCGAGTAGCTGGGACTACAGGCGCCCGCCACCTCGCCTGGCTAGTTTTTTTTTGTATTTTTTTAGTAGAGACGGGGTTTCACGGTGTTCGCCAGGATGGTCTCGATCTCCTGACCTCGTGATCCACCCGTCTCGGCCTCCCAAAGTGCTGGGATTACAGGCTTGAGCCACCGCGCCCGGCCCGTCATTTTAAACCTACTTATTTTACAGTCTCATCCACACCCTCTGGCTGTTTCCTAGTCTTAGGTTTCTACAACTCCTGCTCATCACGTCTGCTGAACGCCTCCTGCGGGTCTGTCCTCTTTCGTGGTTGATGAAGTCTTTCTTTAGAATTGTGAGCTTACCTTCAGCAGGGATTGATGATACTGAAGTGTGAATTTCTATGTGAGAGTTTCTGGATAAGAAGTTTTGCCCTCAGTGTCCCAGCGGATCCACTGTCGTGTCAATTGTCCCCCTGGGAGTTTCTGCGCCATTCAGTGACGTGTGGACCTTGCTCTGGCATGTGCACAGGCCTGGGGTTCCGCCCCCTCCCCACTTCCCCAGCTGGTGAGTGGTCTGTTCCTGGGCTTCAGTCTTGAGGGAGGCAGGTCCTCAAGGTCCTGGGCCTCATGTGGAGCCCCCATCTCCATCCACCCCAAGGCCGCATGGGCTGTGGCTGTCGGAACTCACCCCCCAGCTCTCGGCTTCCACACACTGGGATCCAAGGAAAGGTTCCAAATGTCCAAGAGCCACTTGAGCAGCAGCTCCCGGTCACGCCTGGTTTCGATGGCTCCGTTCCGTGTTGGAATCTGGAGATCCCCTTTCTTCCTGTGCTCGTGGCTTCGTGCTCCTCAGAGCCAATGCCGTGTGTCATGTGGGATTTCGATGTGCGTGTCTGAGGGTCCCTGCTCAGCCTCCGTTTAGTGGGCTGTTCGTTCGCTCATTCCTGGATATTTATACGTGTCAGGCAGGTTTTAAGAACTGAAACTACAGCAGTGAACAAAACAGACAAACCTTCCATCGCGGAGCTCCCATCCCAGGTGGAGCTGGAGCTGCATCGAGGAATAAGGCCCGTCGTTTCCTGAAGGCAGAACCCGGCCGTCACCTGCATTGCTTTCTGCACTCACTCGGGCGACCGCCATCTCTTCCCTTCACGTCGACCAGCTCTTCCTCTGTCAGTTCTACAGCTCGGACTCTCCAGGGCCTGGGTGCCTCCTCCTTTCTGCCCGTGCTCTCTCCTGCGGGGAACTCACCTGGGCCCTGGCTTTTTATATCATGTGTTTGGTGATGATCCCCAGCTTCACCGTGTCTCCAGCCCTGACCCGTTCACCGAGCAACAGACGTGTGTGGCCACAGGCCGCCTCCGTTCCTCTCCTGGGAGATCCGCAGGGGAGACTCACACTTAATGTGGACCACGCAGGGCTCTTGAGCTTCCTGCCAGAGCCTGTTTCTCCCCCTAGGTTTTCTCATCTCTTATTGGAAATGGCATCACTTTTCCTTGTGAAGCTCTGTCTAGGAAGTAGATTGATTCAATGCATGGAAATCTGAATTGCTGCTCAGATTATCTGTGAAGTGGACTATTTAACTCTAGAAAGAATTGGCCTGTGCCCACCCCCGATGCCCACCCATCTCATGTGTGGGCAGGGAGGTTCTGCCTAGACTTGGGCTGATGGGCTTCCTGCGGGGGACCGTGGGGGCCGAGGGCAGGAGCAGGAGCTCACCTGCACGGCACCACGCCTCTGCTTCCATCCACGTCCGACCTGTGTCCTCTGTGGCCCCTGAGTGAGCAGAGGATGGACCTTGCCATTCCCGGGGCAGAGGCTCCATCATCCCTGGGACCGAAAATGATGAAACCCTAGAG